TTGCTACCTAAAACCCTAAACCCTACACCCTAAACCCTAAACCCTAAACCCTAGACCCTAAACCCTAAATTTAAGAGCCTCCGGCTCAAGCCGCCGACCCCGCTGGAGCATAGTTGAAAGGTTTAAACGCGTTCGTTAGGTGACAGGCTGCCAAAGTTGGTGGGGGGGGGGGTCGGTGGGGGGGGGGGGTAGGGGGGGGGGGGGGGGGGGGTGGGGGGGTAGGGGTAGGGGGGGGGTAGGGGGGTGGCCTGGCCCTCCGTGTGGGGACCCCCCCCTACCCCCCCCCCCCCCCCCCCCCCCCCTGTTGGGGGGGAGGGAAAGAGGGAGGTTTTCACTTCCTTTTCCCATCCAACACGCCGCCAGGGTCGGCCGGCGGACCTTAAACCCTAAACCCTAAACCCTAAACCCTAAACCCTAAACCCTAAACCCTAAACCCTAAACCCTAAACCCTAAACCGTAAACCCCAACCCTAAAACCCTAAACCCTGAACCCCGATTCCTTCTCGCCATGGGGTTCTTGGTGACCCCAATCTCCAATCCCTGAACCCCACCGGTGTCTTGGTAGCCCCGTGGTATCCTCTACCCTTCTCTCTTTTTGTTATGGGTTCCCTTGTCATAATCCTAAACCCTAAACCCGAAACCTTACACCCTAAAACCCTAAAAGGCCCTAAGCCCTAAACCCCAAACCCAAAAAGCCCTAAGCCCTAAAACCTAAGCCCCCCAAAATGGTGTGCCCTTGTCATAGTATGGTTGCTGGGCTACCAAGGTGTCAAAGCAGGATCCCGCTTCACTTAGCCTCTTGTGAGTTTCAGGTGTGGGCTTTGGGGGGGGGGGGGGGGAGGGTTTACTACTATTTGCTTAAGAGGCCGTAAACAAAAAAGATCACACTCCTTACTTATCGTGCCCTTAAAAGGCAGAATATCTTTGTTTTGGGGGGTTCTTAAGCCCTCAATCGTTGATAATCAACGTGTCCCAAAGCACGAATCTTGAACTTTCAGTCCTCTACCCTAAACCCTAAACCCACAAAGATGAACCCCAACCCTCCAACTTGAAAAATCAGAGCCCCAGAAGCCTCAATCTGAAACTCGACGCCAAGGTAGCCTCGCAGACACCATGGTGCAACTCAGATTCCTCCTTTGCCTCTTGGTGCCCGATCCGATTCGGGTTGCTTCGGCACGATGCTCCCGTTTTGTTTCGGTTTTTTCGAATATTTGTTGGGGTTGGTTTGGCCCAAGACCCTAAACCCAAAACCCAAAACCCAAAACCCTAAACCCTAAACCCTAAACCCTAAACCCTGTGCCCGAAACCCTAAAACCTAAACCTAGCCCCCCTTTCCCGCTCTTAAACAAGCAGAGGCGCAGACTGCCCTAAGATAGAAGCCTTGAGCGCAGTGCGGGAATGGTCAGTGCCAGTTGTTTTGAGGGTGCTTGGTTTAAGGCTTGGAGGGTTCCTCAACCGGGGCCTCCACTTCCACCCCGAACACTCAACAACCCCCCAACTCCAAACCTCAGCCAACAGTTCTCTAAGTTAGAGCCCTTTTTGCGGTACCCTAGTATTATGAGGTTTGCAGAACCCCCGCAGCACCTGTAGCTGCTGGTATTCATCGCCGTCAGCACACAACCCTAAACTCTAAACCCATTCTAAACCCTAAACCCTAGACCCTAAACCCTAAACCCCAAACCCTAAACCCCAAACCCTAAACCCCAAACCCTAAACCCTAAACCCTAAACCCTAAACCCTAAACCCTAAACCCTAAACCCTAAACCCTAAACCGCACGGGGCCCCATGTGTTCGAGAACCCGTGCTGTCACGAACCCCTTAACCTGGAGGCTTTAAACTCTAAACCCCACAACCGCAAGACCCAAAGACCCAAAAGCCCAAAAACCCTAAACCCCAAATTCCTAAAGCCTCTAAAGCCTCTAAAGCCTCTAAAGCCTCTAAAGCCTCTAAAGCCTCTAAAGCCTCTAGAGCCTCTATAGCCACTAAAGTTCTAAAGCCTCTAGAGCCTCTTTAGGGTTTAGGGTTTAGGGTGCTAACCCCTCCCTCAACCCGGGATCCGATGACTTGTTGCCCCAAAGCCCTAAACCCTAGACCCTAGACCCTAGACCCTAAACCCTAAACCCTAAACCCTAAACCCTAACCGGAACCTGAGAGCTTTGGAGCCAGGTGCTGCCTCGGGCCCTCTCCTGGGCAACTGGCTGGACCTGGAGCGCGCTGCAGGTGGCCTGTAGGGTTTAGGGTTTAGGATTTAGGGTTTAGGATTTTAGGGTTTTAGGGTTTAGGGTTTAGGGTTTAGTCTAAAGTAGGGGCCCTTTTTGCTAGGTTGGCTTTTGGGATTTGTTCTATTTCCTTGTTTGGGTTTTTCAGGGGCCCCCCATATTAATATTCATCAACCGAGTTTAGATGCCAACCCAGTTAGGGTCCTTCCTTTAAGGGTGCCATGCTACGTTGTAGGACCCAAAAAAGGAGACCCGAATCCACAAGCTAGGGTTTCGGACCGGGGGAATCCGTACACCCTAAACCCCAAACCCTAAACCCTAAACCCCAAACCCAAACCCCAAACCCTATATAAACCCCTACAAAAACCTTGGCACCTGAACCCGACATGCCCGCCCTAAACCCGAAATTCCCGCAAACCCCTAAGCCCTCAACCCCGCGCTACAAAACCCTAAACCCTAAACCCTACACCCTACACCCTACACCCTAAACCCTAAACCCTAAACTGTTTGGGAGGTGGGCGCAGCACCCACCGCTAGGCAAGGCCACTCTGCGGTGGAGGCAAGCCCAGGGTTCAGGGTTTAGGGTTTAGGGTTTAGGGTTTAGGGTTTAGGGTTTAGGGGTTAGGGTTACGGGTTTAGAGATTTTGGTTGAGCGACGTGCGGATAGCATAGGGCCACAGCCCCCAAACCCCATGACCTAAACCCAAAGGTATTCTTCAGACTTAGGGCAAATACCTCAAATCCTAAACCCCAAACCCTAAACCCCTAAACCCCAGACCCTAAACCCGAAACCCTAAACCTCCGTGTCACCACGAAGGTTGGCCGCAAGATCTATGTGATCGGTGGATGCTTGCAGGCGGCTAAGTGCTTGGGCTTGGGGTTTGGGCTCCCTCTCTTCCACCCTAAACCCTAAACCCTAAACCCTAAACCCTAAACCCTGAACCCTAAACCCTAAACCCCAGACCCTAAGCCCTAAATCCCAAACTCTAAACCCTGCACACGAAGGCAAGATCAACAATAATAGCATCATATTTCGAAAAAAATGTATTCGGTATTCATAGATATTCTATTTGTAAAAGGTGTACATCGCCCAGAGATGACCCCAGATGTATGGGTGTGTGGGGTGGGGGGCGGTGGGGGGGGGGTGGGCGGGGGTGCATATGATTATGCATCCTTGCTTGCAAGTCGAGGAATGGATCTTATGCAGATGTGAGAAGTGTATGCTGCCTTGGAACCCATCACTAAGGACCCTTGCTTCTACGAATATCTAAATCAGGACACGGAAAATTCTTCCCTAATTTAGCCCTGAACCCTGAACCACTATAGGCCGCCTCAAACCCTAAACCCTCAACCTACTTAACCCCTCAAGGGAAGGTTTCAGGGCAGCAGTTGCTAGGGATTTCGGCGTGAAGTTGCCGGAGTTGTCATCACCCGGCAACAGGAGATCCGCTGCTACAACGATGTCCACGTCTTTGACACAGGCGGGCCCTTAGTACAGCAGCATCGGCTGAACCTTGAACCCTAAACCCTAAAACCCTACATATCAAAGCGCCCTACCTCTAAACCCTAAGGCCCAAGCCCTAGAACCAAAAAACTCAAAAACTGAGCCCGCGAACCCCAAGTGCTAGGCCCCAAAACCCTACACTCGAAGCGCTAAACACGAGACCCCAAGCCCCTCTAGAGCTTTAGGGTTCAGGGCTGTACAGGTTTTTGCTTTTGGGTAAGCCCGTGGCTTGTTGGGGGCCAATTCTAGGGACCAGCTTGAAAGGCCTGCTAGGGTGTAGGGTTTTAGGTTGTAGCGTTTAGGGCCCTCAACCCTCAACCCTCAACCCTCAACCCTCAACCCTCAACCCTCAACCCTCAACCCTCAACCCTCAACCCTCAACCCTCAACCCTCAACACTCAACCCTCAACCCTAAACACTCAACCCTAAACCTTCAAGATCCGCAGGCGGGTAGAAGAGCCCCTTCAACAGCACCCCTCAAAAGAGCGTCGTTGCCACGCGTTCCGTGAGGTGCGCGGAGGTGGACGCAGGACTCGGTTGCTTGGAGCGTAGGGGTTCAGGGCTTCAGGGGTCTTGTTTCGGGTTTCGTGCTCTAGAGTGTAGGGCTTAGGGACCCTCATTAAGCCCTAAAGCCTCAACCTAGGCCCTCAACTGCAAGGGTTTAAGGGGGGCTAGGGTTTGAGTTTGAGACGTTGAGGGATTATGTGTTTTAGGCGGGACCCGGGTCGCTCTAGCTGGAAGAGGTTTGAGGGTCTCAGTCGCAAACCACCTAAGCCCAGAACCCAAACCACCTGAACCCTAACTTCTAAACCCTAAACCCTAAACCCTAAACCCTAAACCCTAAACCCTAAGCCCTAAACCCTAAACCCTAAACCCTAAACCCTCAACCCTCAACCCTAAACCCTAAACCCTAAACCCTAGACCTATGTCCCCAGCCAGGAGAATATGACAGGCGACATCCCCGCGCCGCGAGGTGGCCACACAGCCACCCTTGCCCCGAAACCCAGAGTGGGGTTCAGGATTTAGGGTTTAGGAGCGCTTTGGGGCTGAATTCGGCATTTTTTGGGGGTGGTTGGACGTTTGGGGTTGATTCACACCCGGCTGCTTGCGGGTTTTGGGTTGTGGGGCTTTAGGTTTAGGACTTAGGTTTCAGGGTTTCAGAGTTTCAGGGTTTCAGGGTTTCAGGAGTGTGGATTTTGGGTACTTGGGGCTTGGCACTGCTTTTTCGCCGCAGTATTTGCGGAGACCTTGAGACCTTTTGCTAGTGGGGAGGCCGAGATGAGCCTGCGCAGCGTCGTGTGGCTTGTGGCTGCGCAACTCGGGGGAGGCAGTGTCCTGCCGGAAGACGAATGTAGCGAAACCGCGCTGTCGATGCTTCAAGGAAGGGCCTCCAAAGCACGTCCTCCGAGCGCCAGCCACGTCCTGGAGTTGGAGTACTCGTCCGGGAGGCTGCTGCTTCACGTGCAGGCTGGTGCGCTGCCTGCGCAGAGGCTGCTTCTCGACACCGGGTCCTCCACCGTGGCCTTTTGCAACGTGAGTCTGCCAGAGACGCTGCCTGGTGCGAAGAAGACCCATTTCAACGCGTGCGAGCAGTATGGTCCGTCCACCGCCATGGGCTACTTCCGGGATGGCTACGTGGGCCCTTTCTTCCAGGGCGACTTGAGCATTCAGGGGCTGGAGATTCCGGATGCCATGTTTGCGGTATTTGGCCAGGGGTCCTGTGCACCCTCCATGTGTGCAGATCACCCCAGCCAGGGCATCTTCGGTGTGGCCTACCGCCAGCGCAACAAGATTTTTCCTTCCACGGTCGACCTCTCCAGTGCATGTGTAAGAACAAGCAGCGAGATCGAGATACTCTGCCCAACAACCACTGCATCTTTCGTGCCACCTGTGATGCAGGAGCTGCGACAGACATCCGACGGATCGGAAATCTTCGGGATCTATTGGTCCGGACTCGCAAGTGGGAGCATGTACTTGGGCCCAGCAGCGGTCGAAACGAAGAACTTCGATCCTTCGGCGCCCGAGGCCATGTTGTTAGATTCTGGCGCTGGTGCGTCGGGATGGTACAACGTAAATGTTTCCGGGCAGGCCTTGGGATATTTTATCTTTTTACCTTCTTAAGAGGATCATTAGATATTCTATCTTTTTACCTTCTTAAGAGGATCATTAGGAATACCCTAAACCTAAACCCTAAACCTTAAACCCCAAACCCTGAAGGGCCAAGCTAGGTGTTGAGGATCCTCGTCGGAGGCACCGAGTACGAGGGGGTCGACTGCACCAAACACTCCCGGGCGTGCATCGTAGCTAGGTAGGCCTTAAGAGGTATTCTAGGGGTTAGGGTTTAGGGTTTTTTTTGCGTTAGGGTTTAGGGTTTAGGGTTTAGAGTTTAGGGTTTAGGGTTTGGGGTTTGGGGTTTAGGGTTTAGAGGTAGTTTCCCTTATTGGGTTCAAGAGGACCATATTCAGGAATATGATCTTCACATTTTCCGTTATATTGGCTTTAAGAGGATCATGTACTTAGGCATCTTTTCTCAGAGGGTTCTAAGGGCCAACCTAGGTAGACACGGGCACTCCCGCGTTCTTGCTGCCCGCCGGGGTGTCCCTGGACTCTTCGAGCTGGCTCTGGGAGTCTCCCAAGCTGGAGGTCCACTTACAGGGTGTGGCCGGAAACTTGGTCAAGGATAAAGGTAACCAACCCCCCAAAACAGGGCTGCCCTTATTGTAATAGGGTTCTTGGGGATCTGCCAAAGGAGGAGACGTCGTCCTGGACTTTGACCTGGAGCCCTGGCTCTCTCAAAACATGGTGGGGACGCTGGGCGCCCCCGAGGCCTTCTGGGATCCCCTGATGGTGCTGGGCCTCCCCCTGTGGTCGCGCTACTACACCATGTTCAACCTCACGGCCAACACGGTGTCCTTCACCCCGCACGCGCAGCCGAGATCTGGCTGAAGTTGGGGAGGTGGAGCGTCCGAACCAGAATCCGAACCACAAGAACCATAAGAAGTCTCGCGGTGCACCGCGGTGCACGGTAGAACAGCAGCTTCTGCTGTGTCCCTGGGCTGGGCTGCTTCCTGCTCTTCCAGATAGAGCGCGCCCCAAAAAGGATCCAAAGGGATGGAGACGTTCGATTCCGGATTGTGTCCCTTCAAGCAGAACCCTAAATCCTAAACCTCTCTTACTTTCTGTACCTTAACCCCTTATGGCTTTACTTCCTTCTGTTGGTGCGCAATTGTCATTTCTTAGTGAGCATTTGTGATTGCTTAGTGGGCAGTTGTTGTGGGCAATTGTCATTTCTGCGTGTGCAATTTGGAACTCGGGCTTGAGGGTTTAGGGTTTAGGGTTTAGGGCCTCAGGGTTTGGGGCATAAGGCTTAGTAACCCTCAACCCTCAACCCTCAACCCTCAACCCTCAACCCTCAACCCTCAACCCTCAACCCTCAACCCTCAACCCTCAACCCTCAACCCTAAACCCCCCTAAACCATGCTTTGCTTTCTGGGCCGTTGGGGGAGGCCTCCTAGGGTTTTAGGGCCCTTTCGGGTTTAGGGGGTTCCCTAGCCAGAAACTGCCAAAGAACCCTGAACCCAGGCCCTAAATTCAAGCCGCAGGGTTTAGGGTTTAGGGTTTAGGGTTTAGGGTTTAGGGTTTAGGGTTTAGGATTTAGGCTTTAGGGTTTAGGGTTTAGGGTTTAGGGTTTAGGGCTTAGGGTTTAGGGTTTAGGGCTCGGGGTTTCGGGTTTCGGGTTTGGGGTGTACCTCCAGAGTCGAGCCTGCACGCCGAGGTCGGCAGCGACATCTTCCTTCTCGGTGGGGCCAACAGTGAGGCACCAAAAAGCCACAGGGGCTTTTAAAGGCCGAAACTTTGAGACTCTAAACCCTAAACCCTAAACCCTAAACCCTAAACCCTAAACCCTAAACCCTAAACCCTAAACCCTAAACCCTAAACCCTAAACCCTAAACCCTAAACCTAAACCCTAAACCCAGCCCTAAGCCCTAAGCCCTAAGCCCTAAGCCCTAAGCCCTAAGCCTAAGCCCTAAGCCCTAAGCCCTAAGCCCTAAGCCCTAAGCCCTAAGCCCTAAGCCCTAAGCCCTAAGCCCTAAGCCCTAAGCCCTAAGCCCTAAGCCCTAAGCCCTAAGCCCTAAGCCCTAAGCCCTAAGCCCTAAGCCCTTAGCCCTTAGCCCTTAGCCCTTAGCCCTTAGCCCTTAGCCCTTAGCCCTTAGCCCTTAGCCCTTAGCCCTTAGCCCTTAAGCCCTAAGCCCTAAAGCCCTAAAGCCCTAAAGCCCTAGGCCCTAAACCCTAAACCCTAAGCCCTAAGCCCCAAGCCCTAAACCCTAAGCCCTAAGCCCTAAACCCTAGCGTCGGGGTTGCTGTTAGCAGCAGCCTTCCGTCGTGGCCGCTAGCGAAGCAAATGAGGGCCTCCAGCAGTGGCAGCGGGCTAGAGACCAAACGAAAGCTGCCAAAGGGCGATCACGAGGGACCTCCGGGGCCCACGCAAGGGTGTGCGCAGCGATGGCGGGATTAGGAGCAGGAGACAAGAATTGAGTGGAAGGTCTCGTCGGGAGCGCAGACCAGGTGGAAGTGCGTGATGAGAGCAGTCCGGCGGTTCGAAAGAGTCACGGGGAAAGAGCTGTGGGCTGGAGGCGGCACGCTTCCACAATCGGTGCCAACGTGGGGCCTGCGGGCAAGAACCACGTTGTGGCCGCGCCGACTTGGTGTGAGGGAGCTGCTTTGGACCCAATAATTGGTGAGGAGGACGGGATGGAGAAGTCCCAGCCTGCCCTACACTACTGGAGCCGAGAGATTGCGAAGTTGCCCAATTTGATGCGGCCGCAGCCCCCCCCCGCCCCCCCCCGGTGGAGGGACGGAGGGTGTTACTCGGGATGGCCTGGAGTGGCGCCAACCCTAGGCCGCAAACTCCAGAAAGGGGTTTAGGGTTTCGGGTTTCGGGTTTCGGTGGTGTTCATAGACCTCCGAGTGCACGCAAGCTGCAATGTTGCCTAAGCCCTAAAGGCCCGTGACCCCTGGTCATCCCGCGTTCGCCCTCTCAATAAGCTCTTTTGCTCCTCGGCCTCAAGCCTATACACTTGCCTACCGGTGTCGGGATCCAACTCAAGGGGTTTAGGGGGTTTAGGGGCCTAGTTTCTCTTATTCTTCTTCTTATTATTATTCTTATTATCATTGTTATTATTATCATGATTATTGTTGTTGTGTTTTTTTTTGGGGGGGGGAGGGGGGGGGTTGGGGTCTTTTTGTTGTAGTTGCGTTTCTTCTTCTTGGGCCTCGTTTAGAAGGCTCTCTTCTATACACGACCTCTATGTGCAGCTCTCTCTACATCATGCCCCCTCAAAGGGACCGCAGAATCGAATCCCCTTAAAATCCTAAGACCCTTCAACTTAGGGCCCCCAAGCCCTGCAAGCCTTGTAAGCCCCTGGACCCTTAAACCCCTAACCCCCAACCCCTAAACCCTAAAGCCCTAAACCCCTAAACCTTTAAACCCCTAAACCCTAAACCCTTAAGCTTCAGGGCTCAGGGTCCCTAGAACTTCGCGGAGGCGACCTTTTCCGATGTCCACCGCTTGGACCTCCTGCGCCGCCGGTGGACGAAGCTGGATGAAGGCAAGGGCGTAAAGGCTTAGGGTTTAGGGTTTAGGGTTGAGGGTTTAGGGTTTAGGGTTTAGGGTGTAGGGTTTCAGGGACTTGGGGATTAGTGTTTAGCGGCCGAGGCCCTAAACCTGAGGGGTCGAGGGGTTTAGGGGTTGAGGGTTTCGGCTTTGGAGTTTAGGGTCCCACGCTCTGTTGGCAACACTGTGGAACGATTTTTCTGAGCCAGGATACCGGGCCAGGGAGGATAGCTGAGTTGAATATGCAACCTGAGGAACACAAGAGCCGAGCCGTAATGGCCCTAAACCCCTAAAACCCTTACCTCCCCCAAACCCAAAGCCCTACCTAAATCCCAAAACACCCAAATCCAAAGCCCGAAACCCCTAAGCCCCTAAACCCCCGAACCCAAAGCCCTAAACACCTTAACCCTGAACACAAAAACCAAAACCCTAGACCCTAAACCCTGAACCCTAAACCCGAAAAAACCCTAAACCCTGCAATCCCGTAACCCTAAGCCCTAAACAACCCCTAAGCCCCCAAACCCAAAGCCTTAAACCCCCAAAGCCCTGAACCCCTAAATCCCTTCACCCTAAACCCTAAACCCTAAACCCTAAACCCTAAACCCGAAACCCTAAACCCTAAAGCTCATCGCCAGGCTCTGGGATGGCGTTCACAGCCCGCACGAGCCACGCCGCCACCGCGGACGGAGGCCCGCCGAGGGTTTGTTCAGGGTTTAGGGTTTGGGGTTTAGGGTTTAGGGTTTAGGGCTTAGGGTTTAGAGTTTTGGGGCTTTGGTTTGGGTTTGGGGTTTAGGGTTTAAGTAGGGTTTAGGGCGTAGAGCTTAGGGTTTAGGGCGTGCATAGGGTTTGGGGTTGAGAGTTTAGGGTTCGCTGTGGGTTTAGGGTCTACGGATGACCAAATTTGAAGCTCTGCTTCTCACCGACATATTTTTTCGGTTTACGGTTTAGGGGTTTGGCTTTACTTGCAAGGTAAGCTTCTTGACGGCAGTTATGACCCCACCTCTTCTATGTGCCCGAAGTATGGCCTGGTGTGTTGTTAAGGTGTGAACAAAGTAGCGAAGTAGGCTGCAAGCAAACCATAAACCCTGACCTCCTAGTTGAGGTTACTTGGAGGTTCATGGACCTCCTGTCTGGTTATAGAACCCTAAACCCTAAACCCTATATGAACCTGACAGTTGGGGGAAAAGCACCATGGAACCTCCACGTCGGCAGGACGGATTTACGTCTTTGGCGGCTACGATGCCGAGGGCAAGTTCTTGAATGCTTCTCGGCGCCCTTGCCCTTTCTGGGCTAAGGCTACGGTGAAAGGCTTTATGTTTAGGGTATGTCTTCCTTCAAGAATATGTTTCAGAGGGTTTTAAGGACCAACCTCCCTAAACTCTCAACCCTAAACCCTCAAGCCCAAACCCTAAACACCCTACCCTCTTATGGGGGGCAAAAGGTTTCGAAGGGGGAGGTCCAAAGGTCCAAGAAGTTTCGGCATGTAGGGGTTTAGGGTTTGAGGGGTTTAGGGGTTTAGGGTTTAGGGGTTAGGGGTTTAGGGGTTTAGGGGTGTTGGAGGTTTAGGGGCTTTTGCGGTTTCGGGGGTTTAGGGGTTTAGGGGTTTTAGGGAAACCGGGTCCCAGACTGTTTTTCTGTCCACGGAAATGCACGGGGGTTGAGGGCGCTCTCAAAAGTCATCAGCGCCCAGCCCCTGCACCTGGAGTGGCGCTCCATAGGGCAGTACTTCCAAGCAATAGTACCCTAAAACCTAAACCCTAAACCCTAAACCCTAAACCCTAAACCCTAAACCCTAAACCCTAAACCCTAAACCCTAAACCCTAAACCCTAAACCCTAAACCCTCAAACCCTCAAACCCTCAAACCCTAAACCCTAGAAAGTGGGACCGAACTATCCTAAACAAATCCTGTAAATCCGAAGGCTTGGCGGTAGCAGCGGTCTCCAGGTCCCTCGAAGCCCAGAAGCCGAAAACCCCGGTTCCAAGTTTGAAGGGTTTAGGGTTTAGGGTTTAGGGTTTAAGGTTTAGGGTTTGGGGTTCACGGTTTCGGGCTTCAGGGTTTCACTGTCAAGGAAGTGAAGAAAGGGACTGTTGAGGAAATTAGGGCCGATTTGGGCTCATTAGGTTTTTTTTTGGGGGGGCCTCCCATTCAGACCATGGGCTCCCTCTGTGGAGGAGGTGCGTCTGAGAGTTACAGCAAGGCCCCCGCAAAAAGAAAAACAACAAAAAAGAACCTCGCCCCAAACCCCCAAAACTCCTAAACCCCTAAACCCTAAAACCCTGGAACCCGTGACCCAAACTAAACAAAACCCCACGAGACCGAAATTAAAACCC